CGCCGCACCACCATACTCAAGTCTTGGTCTGATATGGGAAGCGTACAGCATTCTGAAAGCGTCCATCGTGAGCCGGTTGAAAGACCGCCGAATAGGCCCCAGAATGCTCCATGTTCTGGCACAGATCCGATCAGTGTTTTCTCGGGTCTTTAGTGACGACCTAACCATAACTCCCAGGTGTCTTTCGCACCATGTTCTGCGCAGTGTGGTTCCCTGGAAGTTTTGGACTACCTCTGAGTCAGCACGCCCCAAGTGCAGGTGCGCACACTTTGCGGTGTTGACTGAAAGAGCCCAGGTGTCCGCCCTCTGAACCAGGTTGTTCAAATCCACATGAAGAGAAGTTCGATCATTCGGATCCTCGATTGTACGCCAGATTTTTTATGTTATCCGCATACACGAGGGATGGGCTGCACAGGTAGTTCACCTAAACCACAAAGAGCAATGGACCAAGAACCGAGCCTTGGGGGACCCCACTGGGAGCTGGATACCACTCAGATAGTAATTTGCCAACACGGACGCAGAATTTCCGGTCGATGAGGAAGCCTCGCAACCAATTCAGCATGACCACATTTATATCCATGTTAGACAGATTTCGCAGAAGGAAGTCGTGTGGCACCTTGTCGAAGGCCTTGCTGTAGTCCACGAAGATGATATCCGTTTCTTTTCCTTTGGCCTTGTCCTCAGCCTAGCATTCACGGTTCAGTAGCAGGTTTAGGGGGTATGAGCGACCCGGCCGGAAACCGTGTTGTTGGTAGCACAAGTGACCGTAGCACACCAAATGCTTCCGAAGCCGTGTAGCCATCAGTCGCTCCATTACATTACTCCCAACACTAGTAAGGTTGACTGGTAGTTTCCAGGGTTACTCCTATCCCACCTTTGGGTAGTGGAACAATGACAGCATCCTTCCACTGCCGCGGTAAACGCTCTTGAGTGAATGACAAATTGAACAGGTTGCACAGTGGCACTGCAAGTTGATCTTCCAGCTCCCTCAAGATAAGCGGATGCACACTATCAGGTCCAGGTGACTGGTGAACCTTCAGCCGACGCAGCTCCAGGGCTACCTCTCCGATGGTAAATGGAGTCCAGTTCAGGGCAGTGGATGTGCCAATGTGCTGGAGTCTGGAATGTACACTGAGACGTAATGTGATGCTAACATCTGAGCTTTGTCCTCATCTTTTTCGGCTAGTGCCCCGTCTTTGGCGAGGGTCGGGGGACCAGCCGTTGCTCTGATTCTTCGCCTGAGGTAGGCATACAATCGCTTTGGTGCCAGTACAGAAGCCGCTGCGAGTCGCTCCTCGAAGCTGGTTCTCTTGCATTTTTTCAGTGCAGTACAATGATTCCGAATACCTCGATATTCCTCATATCCTGAGCCTGTTGCACGATACCTGGACCAGGCTTTATTCCGCTGCCGGAGGCACGCCCGCAGTTCTCGATCAAAACACGGCGGCCCATAACGTGTATTCGGTGGCTGTGGGGTGCAGAGAATTCCAGTACGAGGTGATGGATTCCATGACAAACCAACTCCTAGGATTCATCCACATCTTCAGGGTTTCGGGAATCCCAATTTTTGATCGATGCAGCCTGACGCATTTCCGGAAAGGAGGAGCGCCACGCATTCCGTCCGTCCTGTAGTCTGTCCGTTTGGGGTACTCCACGCCTCCAGTGTATACCCAGAACGGAGTGATCACTAGATGCAGTTGGTGGAATGAGGTCAATCTTGGTCGTATCTGATTGCCTCGGCCAGAGCACCAAGTCAACTATCCGCGTGGGCACAAAAACATGCTGAACAAGCGGGAGAGAAAGAAGTTTTCTGGAAAATAAATCCGCGTGCTGAGAGCAGATGTTAGTTTCCCAGTCAATATGTGGCGCATTGAAATCACTCAAGACAAGACAATGTCCATCGCAGGTGTACCTCTGTATGCTGGCCAATAGCTCCGGGTCGAACCCAGCCGGTGTGCGGTAGATCACTTCAACTGTGGTATACCATCCGGCACAAAGCTTGATTCTGCGCCACAATGCTTCTCCAAATCCTTCCGGATGGG